AACATGAAAGCGCAGTAAATTTTGCTGATTTACGACCCCAGGTATCGCTGTTCCGAACTTGCACGGTCCCAATATACAGTGTTACCTCGACATACGAGTGTAATTCGTTCCGTAATCTTGCTCGTATGTCAAAGCAATTTTCCCCATTGAAAAAAACACGTTGGTTGTTTTTGTTAAGTGTTTGTAAATAAGAAAAATGTATTTAAAAGAAGTATATGTATTTATAAGTAACAAAAAATACATAAATATTCTGTAAAAACATAAAGAAAAAGGTGAAGTGCTTACGGAAGCGGTTAATTTTCGTCAGTGGTATTCGCTTTTTTCGTCACACTTTGCTCATTTTCATATGCAGATCGTATTAAAAAACTGTCCAAGGAGGTTTGTTTCTTCCTCCCTTTCAGAATATTGCGGAAATGTGTTAGGCAAGTTTCGTTGAACAACACCGATGCACTTCTTTGTCAACCATTTTCCATCCACTCCTGAATGTAGGTATCTCCCAATTGCTTCCATCTTTCTCTATCTTGCGCCAATCTAATCCGCTGTTTGCCTGCCACTGCTCTTATGTGATCTACCTATCTTTTTTGAGGTCTTCCCATGCTTCTTGTTGTCGTCCTTGGTCTCCACACCGATGCACGACCAGTTGTAACTTTTTCGGGATGATTTTTATCTACGAACTCTGCAACTTTCTCCCACATTCCCAGGATCTCCTTTATATCTATTGTAGAGACAACGTCTTCCCATTGGCTCCTCTTCAAAACTGTTTTTTTGTTGAACCACCGTATATTGCTGCGAATGTAGTTCGTCTAACTCCTCGGTTGTCAGCTCGTGAGACTGTCCCTCGACAAGTTCGTTCACATCTCTTTCATCCACCTCCAGGCCCATGGATTTTCCAAGAGAAACAATCTCATCTACCACTGACACTTAGGATTCCAGTCCTTCGCAGGCCGTTTCATCTAGCTCAGCCTCAGGCCACAGCTTCTTCCATACATAGGTTAAGGTTTTTGTAACACCTAGCCAGGCCTGCTCAATAAAATTAGGCATATTACTACGTTAAAGTGCTTCCAGAACTCTCGAAGGGTAAGGTTTGTGTTTTCGGTCACCTCAAAGCAGCGGCGAAAAATATGCTTAGAGTGGTATTGGCTGGTAGGTAGAGAATATTTATAAACTTTAACTCTTGGAGTAAATCATCTTCGAGATTTGCTAGGTGAGAAGGGACACTATCGAGGACAAGAAGGACTTGCATCGGTAGGTTGTTTTTAGATAGGCTGTAGATATTTTTTAACAGAAGGGGCAAACACCAGGTTTATCCACTCCACAAAGAATTTCTTGGTGACCCACGCCTTTGGATTTGCCCTCCACATAACCGTTAGTTTTTCTTTTAAAATCATATCTGAGTTAAAGTCTCCGGTATTTTCTGTATGGTACTCGCATTGGCGCAAAGTAGTAGAGTTAATCTATCTTTCATAGGTTTGTGACCTGGCATCGTCTTCTCCTCTGCCGTTATGTAAGTCCTATTCGGCATCTTTTTCCAGAAAAGCCCCGTTTCGTCACAACTGAAGACTTGCTTGGGGATGTATCCTTTGGCTCCTATCGGTTCGGAAAACGTTTTGATGTAAACCTCAGCTGCTTTCACATCCGAACTTGCTGCCTCACCATGCGTGACGACGGAGTGAATGCCGGACTGGCTTTAAACGAGTCTTCCGATTCATCATTTCTGTATGAATGTGGTGCCTTCTCAAATATGATGCTTTATGTTAAAGTTCCTACTTGAAGCGGCGTCTCTGTCACCCACACCATTAGTAGTTTCTCCATCCATTCATACTTCCTTAATTTACTTGCGCAGAATGCACAGGTCAGTAATATTTAAACGAAAAACATTAACTTTATTTAACTGTGGAGCCAACTTTCAGACAAAAGAATAATTAGTTTCTGAGTTTAGCGTTCAAAAGAATAAGATTGTTAAATAAATAAGACAAAAATGTTTGTAACCTTTTTTTTTATTGTATATTAATCTTGACGTGGTTAAATAATTTTTTGCAACACGATCATAGCCATCGATGACATATAAAGGACTTCAATGTATATGACAATTTGTATATAGACTAATAACAATGTTTCCGTTTTGAGTTAATGGATATAGTGTTATTGTTTTATCATATTTTTCGTTTTAAACATTTTAACTCTAACCAAGAAGACAATTTGAACAATTGTGCAACGTACCAACTCACTCACATTATTTTATTTATTTTTAGTCGCTTATAGACTGTAACCATGCTCACTAACGTCACTTAAAACGAATCTGATCGCTTAGGTAAAAGTAATGAACTGATTTTGGGGTTCCCCGACAATATTAAGTACACTTGGGGGTGGGAAAATGAGTATTAATAAGTAAAAACGTATACGACTTATTTTATTTGTAATTTTTTCTTTAATTTGTTGTGATTATGTATCGGCATCTATGATGAATTTAAATAAAATAGATGGTTGACGTGTTATGTTAGTATGTAAAACAGTGTTTACATAATATACCAACAAATGTATTAAAAGAGCTGTAAACCGTGAAACGTGACAAGATGATCTTTCTGCGAGGTTACATCTTCGTCGAATCATTCTTGTAATTTATGCAAGCACTGTAAACGTCTGTACGTCGATTGTGTAATTGAAAAATTACTATTGTGTTAATCAGAAACATCTAAGAAACTAAAGTACTAAATGCAAAGTTGGAAACTCCAAGAAATGCATATAAAAAAAGTAAATCTTGTAACGCTCTACTCATTGTCACTCATTACTTTGTTACTTTAATAATGGCTGACTAGGACTGCTTGGGAAAGGAAAATAAAAAAATATTTCATTAAATTTTAAAAAATTATACTTTTTGCTTTAGAACTGATATTAAGAAACCGTTAATCGAATGTATCGAATGAAGGCTGTAATAAAGTTTCTCGAAGAAATATACAATTTAAAAAATATAAAATGATCTTTAGTTGGATTGATTTAATATAAACAAAATTTATTATAATAAACAAAATAAAAAAGACAATTATCATGTCTAATTTTCTATGTGTCATTTGTCATCTTTTCAGTGCCCTTTTTATACATAAAACACTTTGAAAATGATGGGGGTCTTTGGAAAGAAAAGTGAAAGAAATGTTTCATTTTCAGTTAGAAAATTGTGCTTCTCATTATCGAATGATCTTAAAAACCCTTAATCTCAGCCTACAATGACGTATCTCGAGTAAACACGCAAAAAAAGATTAAAATAAGCTTCTATAGTTGAGTTTGTTTAATGTGGAGACATATATCGCTTCTGACTTCATTCTCAGTATTCTTTGTATCAACTGTTATGTAACGCCAAATAATAAACATATTAAAACTGACAATTATTATCATTTGTAATTTTCTGTGGATCATTTGTCAAATTTTTATACATAAAAAGCACATTGAAAGTGACGGAAAGAAATGTTTCATTTTACAATAAAAAATTATATTTTTCGTGTTTTAAGAAACCCATAATCGTAGGCTTCAATGACAGATCTCGAATACATTCACAAACAAAATGTTTTAAAAGAGTTTGTTTAATCTCAGTAGCACTGTAATTCCTTTTCAAATATGGGACTTCTGACGTCACTAGTAACATTGTCTGTGTGTCATCTGTCACGATAGATGTAACGCCAAAGAGAAACAGATTAAAAATGACATATCATTATCTATTTGTCATGTGTTCAGCGTCATCTATAAAATATTTTTATACACAAATAGACAGTTTTGTTTAATTGACGTTAGATTCATCACTTTTATTATCAGTATCTCTATTAGTTTATTTATATTATATTATTATAGATTTTACATTATGTTGACTCGTTTTGAGATGGTTGGAGAAGCTTTTTTTAAAGTTTGGAGGTTAGGAATATCTGTTGAACAAGTGAGACTGGTTTTTATCTTAACAGGAGTTATGTATCTTTTAATTGTAATTTTTTTAATAAAATAATTTTTAATAGTAAACTTAAAAGCCTTATTTACCTCGACGGGAAGTCATTTATTTGCAGTAACCATCTCAGTTTAGAACTAAGACAAAGAATGGTTAAGTGCTATGTTTGGTCCATACTTTTGTATAGTGTAGAAGCTAAAAGTATCGATCATGAACAAAATTGAAGTGTTGGAAATGTGGGTTTATAGGCGAATGCTGAAGATAGAGAACAAAGATAAACAAATAAAGAGAACAAACATTTAGCCATGAGACCAATTGTGTCGCCAATTCCTCGGCAGAATGTAGTAGGATCTGGAAAGACGAAGTTATATTAAAAAGAAAATACCAGTATTAGTAAGTCAGTAACATATGGAGGATGCATCATTTATGTTTTTTAAATAACGAACATATAAATTCAGAATTTGGTGTTTATTGAAAGTAAACTAAATGCACGACCAAATACTTACCATGTCGGGAATGGTATTATAAGGTTTTTTTTTCCCTCATAATTTACTATGGAATCACCAACAGGAGAATTTTACTGTCGTCATGGCATGCATTTGTCGGTGTGCATGTCGCTATGATTTTTACTGACGGATATTCTCAAGTTAAAGTTGATTTCATGTAATCGAATGAACTATCTTATAAGTAAAGTCGTCCCAGGAGCGCAACTCAGTAATATTGGCAATATCATTTTAAAGTCATCTACTTTAAAATGTATAATGTATGCCTGAATTGTCAATATAAATGAGTCAGATAAAATTAAATTATTAGAAGAATTTTTCTTCTAATAATTCTAAAGTAACAAAAACAATATTTGTTTAATTTACTAATGTTTGTATTTTGAGAACGATTTCCGAAGTGGAAATTGAAACGTCAATAAACGTACTTTAACCTTTAATTGTGGCTTATTCCCATTTAAATAGTAATTAATTTTAAGCGATTGAGATCCAATCTGTTTTATAAGAGGAATACAGGAAGCGCTAAAGGGATGTGCATTGCAATAATAGATATAAATGTCATATCTTTTCAGGTCCCATGTTGGTAAAAAGCGGAAGGGGCCAGCTAGTACTGATCCATAACGGCCACATATACACTCTCTGTGATAAAAAAGACATCTGCACTCTGTGGGTGTGCGTGAAAAAGAAAACACTCAGTTGTCCAGGATGTCTCACCACCCTCAACGGTCTCATTCTACTCTCCTACACGGCGCACAATCATCCGCAGATGCACGACGTAATCAAAAAGCTACAAATGCCTTCTTGCAGAGTATCTCCGGAGCTGAGTCTCTAAAGATACCTGATAATTGTTATTGTTTGCGAGCAGCTGAGTGAAAAAAAGTATTTGTTTTTTTTTAGAAGAAATTTACGTCTAGGGTTACTTTTTAAAAGAATAAGTTTAATTTTGCGCAGCGTATTGTATAGCCAAAGAACAATGTTCCTTTATTTTTACACTAATCAGGAATGAGTCTAGAAAGATCTTTCCATATATTTATAACTTTGGAAAGTAACAAATGCCACAAAAGTAACAAATGCCACAAGATAATAATTTCAAACGTTTAACTTTCATATGATACATACAGTTAAGTTAAAATTATCTCTTTAGGCCATAATTTTTCAAGTTTTATTAAAAATGCTTCCCCTATTATCTAATTTAGCGTCCTTTGCAGCTTTCTCCAATACTGTCAAAAAGGAGACACGCCAACATGTATCCCTATCGGAGCCCGATAGATTTGTGAATATTCACTCTGTATTTGTAATTTTGCAGATCATCATCATGGCTTATTCACTCCTGGCGGAGTGTTTGCCGCCCTTTTGGGCTCTCTGATTCATTTATTGCGGAGACCGCTGTTGCTTTTTTATTATTATAGCAGCGTGTGTGACTTGGCCCTGTCTACAATTTTCCTCCATTCTTTCCGATCCTTACAGCGCTCCTTCCAATTGTAGATTCTCAGCTTCTTTATGTCTCCTAAGACTTGATCTCTCCATCTTTTGTTTTGGGTCTCCCCTTTGGTCTCTTTGTTGTTGGTCTCCATCCAGTTATTCGCTTTAGCGTAGAGTCTGGGTTAGCTCTTTCTGTGTGCTCCATCCACCTGAGCCTTTGCATCTTAACGAACTTGATTATGTCTTCACCCTCGATGACTTCTTTAATTTCTTCATTGGTTAATCTTCTAAATTCGCCTACACTTATCCTCACCGGCCCCATTATTCGTCGAATTATCTTTCTCTCTAAGATTTCTAACCTCATTTCATCTTTTTGTGTTAGGCACATCGTCTCTGCACCATAGGTGATCACTGGCCTGATTGCAGTCTTGTAAATTTTTAATTTGGTTTTCTTACTAATGTGTTTTTCTTTCAGGAATTTTTGGTAGTTCCGGTAGGTTTTATTACCCAGTAGGATGCGTTCATTTATTTCATCTGTTCTATCATTTCTGTCATTTACCATCACTTCCAGGTATTTGAAACGGTGTACTCTTTCAAATGTATATGCACCAAGCTTAATTTCTTTCTCTATGTTCGTATTCTCTCTTGAACACTTGAGGTATTTCGTTTTGCTTTGGTTTATTACTAGCCCTCTCTTCTTTGCTTCTTTATCCAGTATTAATATTATGTTCTGCATGGTTTTTAAATCTCTAGTAACCAGTGCAATATCGTCTGCATACGCAATCAGTTGGCTGAAGATTCGATAATCGTTCCCATAATTTTGGCTGCTCTTACTGCGCCCTCTATGGCAATGTTGAATAATGTTGTTGACAGGGAGTCTCCCTGTCTGACACCTACCTCAATTTGTACTTCATCTGAAGGGCCTTCCTTTGTTAAGATTCGTGCCTTGGATTCCTTCATCGTCATTTTCGTGAGACTTATTAATTTTGCAGATACCTTTACATATTGTAGCCTTCACCAATCTTGAACCAATAAATTTTGCTATTTGATAATTTTTTATTCGATAGTTTTCTTCTTCATGATAAACAAAAGATGATATCTCCATTTCTGCTTTTGCATATAATCTGCAGTAACCACTGATGTATAATTCTTTTATGCCAACATATATTTCCTTTGATCCTGCTAATCTTCGGTTGACACTTTTCTTCTTCAATCTTTTTACAGGAGGAATAAGTTTGTTACATTTATATAAAAAAAAGAGTGATTAACTTCTAGATTTCTTTTGTTATCGCTAAATTTATGAATTAACCATTCTTCAATGTCTGTGCGATTTCTTTTTTAATCTACTATAGTGAGCTCAACAGTTCACTTATTTAAAATATAATTTTTGTAGCCAATTTCCCAACGTCCAGCACTATATATTTCTAGCTTTTTCCCAATCGGCACTACCACTCTTTCGTTGATCACTTACAAAGTATCAACACCAAAAAAAAACACTTAAGTCAACCCAATTCTGTCTCAATAACATGACTTCTTCTCTGTATGTTAAATTTGCCTTTAATACAATCAGTAAAATGATGGCATATACTTCTAGATTCATCCCTGATAAGTCAGTTTCAGTAAGTGATACAACTTATTAGAATCATCTAGTAAAGTGGTTTTTTAGTTTAAAAGTGGTGTATAAAGTATACTCAAAAATATAAACACATAGAATGATGCACTAGAAAGACTGCTACACAGCCTGGACGGAACCTCTGCCAACAAAATCTCCACAACATCAGGATATCCTGTGATTTTGTTTTTAGTTGAAAGGTGTATGAAGTTAGTTCTTCTTCTCCTTTAAGTGCCATTTCCGCGACAGTATGCAACCTTGCCTGACCCCTCTCCTTATCTCCACTTCTTCTGATACTTCTCTTTCAATTTTCACATTTGATCGTTGGCTGTAGTATAAATTTGATACCAATGTTACATCCGTCACATCCATATTCTTGTTTTTGTGTACTTCTATAAGTCGGTCATGTTTTACCTCATGCTGTAGTCTATAAAGCATACATAAAGATCTCGATTAACATCCAAACATCTTTGGGTCACCACGTTGAAAGAAAATAGTGCCTCTCTTGTGCTCATTCCATTCCGAAATCTAAACTGGGAATCACTAATATCCAGCTTAGCGTGCATTCTATTATGGATGATTTTTAGGAGGGTTTTTAAAGTATGTGACATTAGGCTGATGGTTCGAAAATCACTACATTCTTTGGTAGACAAATAAATGTTGATGTCAGCATTTCATGTGGAATAGATTGTGTTCAGTAGTTGGACTAAAAGATGTTTTTTTTTTCATTGACCAGTTTTAGCGATTCACTTGGTATTTCATCTGGACCAGCAGCTTTATTATTTTTCATGGACTTTACTGCATGCATAACTTCTGACTTTGTTATTTCGGGTCCCTCGTCTTTACTCTGATTATCTTCATATATATTTTCCTGTCTCTGGTCATGGAATAATTCCTCTATATATTCTTTCCATATTCCTAATTTTTGTTCCGTCTCCACTAAAATGTTTCCTTGTTTGTCCAATAGTATGCTTGAGCTTTTTTGTTTTGCTACCCCAGCTTATACTTTCTGGCTACTTTCTTATAGAGATTGCAGTTATCATATTTGTTTTATAAGTCTTCTATTTCTTGGCATTTTCCAGCGAAAAAAGTCTCTTTAGCTTCTCTTATTTTCCTTCTTATTTGATTATGCAGCTGTTGATACTGAGTTATGTTGATATTCTTTTGCCTTCTTCTGTCCTCCATCATTTCCAAGATTTCTTCTGTCATCCAATCTCCTTTCTTGCATCTGGTTGTTGTGAGTTCTGGATGAAGTTAGTTGGTGTGTACTTATATCGTACTCAAGCATTATGATTATCAGTTAGATCAACTCACAAAAATATCTGTGTGGAGCTTCAATGAGTTGTAAGGAAAATATTGCACACAGATAAATTTAATGAAAAAAGTTCACAATGCTCTCTCATATAGGACCTTTATATTCCAAATCTCTCTTAGTCTTTTATTATATTGCCAAAATATTTCATTTTTCTACACTTGCCTCTGTAGAGCAGTTTGTAGTCCTAAAATTGTTCTTATGAGAATATTTATCAGTTGTTTGTAGGGTATTTTGTTAATATAAATCAATATAACAATGCATAACGTGTCTACAAACACAGAAACGATTATAGAGAATGACAAAAGCAACTGACACAAAATGACAAATGACTTCGATGACATTGTCAACAGTGTTGCCAATGCAGTGTCCGGTGATTTCTGTTCCACAAGCTACAAAAAACTAACAAAACAAAAATATATTTTATAGTTCAATCATAAACCGTATTTAAACAAAAAATCCTCTATTAGATTTTTCTAATAACTAAATTACCTACTACGAATTAAGCCATGTGGACACATTTTTATTTATTTATTTATTATTGGACTGTTATTTATCTCAATTTTATCGAAGATTTGTGTATTTATTTTGTATTGTATTTTGATAATCTTGAGGTAAAATATGAAGAGTTTTATTTATTTTCGTCTAATAAGCAATTTTTATTTGGTTGACGATATTTTTTATATAAAAAAGGTTACTCTAAGTTTACAACGATATTAATAATTGCATTTCGAGCTTATCATTTGGATCGATATATTGTGGAATGTCTCAATTGTTACAGAAAAGTTGTTACATTTCTTACGAATTTGAAATTTTCGTTCTTTTATTATTTTTATTATTTTACTCGATGTTTAATATATTATTACAAAAGACAAATGCAATTACTTTTATTGGCAAATTGAGATTTTTATTACTTCTATATTATTTGTGTAGTTTTGTTATTAATTCGCAAAAGTATTGTTTTAAATTTTTTGAAAGAAATTGTTAACCTGCTTTTTTGTTTTATTTAATAACCTTATAATTTTCTGTGGAAATTAATTGGTAGATTCTCATTTGGAACAGAGTTATAAACTACAGTAAGAAGAGCAACAGGCTTATTCATCGTGGGACTTCTTTCTAAGCTGTTCTTAGTATGGAATGTGTGTCCATACCTGTCCAGTCTCTTACATTCTTCAACCAGGAGCATTTTCTTCTTCCTTCCATTATAAGTCGTAGGAAGTTGTATTTTTCTCCTCTGTACATATGTCCTAGATAACTTGTTTTTCTGTTTTTTACATTATTTAGGAGTTCTCTCTCAGTCCCCATTCTTCTCAGCACCGTATTGTTGGTCACGTGCTCTGTCCAAGAGATTTTCAACATCCTTCGAAAAACCCACTTCCGAAAGGGTTCTATACACCTCATACTTGTAATTCCGAGAGTCCATGTTTCCACTCCGTATAACATTATGGAATAAATAAACGTTTTTACAAATTGGTATCGGATATCCAACGATAACGTAGAGTTTATTAGGAATTTTTTCATTCGTTGAAATGCGGACCTAGCATATGAGCACATATTTCAACCTCGTGGTCAAGATCGTTTACTATCCAGCAACCAAGATACTGGAATATTTGTACTGGTTCTATATGTTCGTTATAGATACGAATATTAATGTCGACATTTGGTGCACATGTAACAGCCCTTACTTTTGTTTTATTTGTGTTTATATTTAGTCCCAAGCTATCACCCTCTCTGGTTATAACATTCAAAAGTCGTTGTAAACCCTCAGCACTGTCCGCAATAATGACGGTGTCGTCTGCGTATCTTAAGTTGTTCACGTATTCTCCGTTGATTTTTATTCCTTCTTCAATATTTTCGAGGGCATTTTGAAAGATCCTTTCGGAATATATATTAAATAACAGTGGAGAAAGTACACAGCCCTGACGAACTCTTCTTTTTATTGGAAATTCTGCTGTCAGACGTTTGTCTATTTTGATAGACGCCATTTGATTCTAATATAGTTTTTTAATAAGTACTACAGTGTTATGGTCTATACCATGTTGTGTAAGGGTATCTATGAGTTCTGTGTTTTACTTGATCAAAGGCTTTATCGGTAGTATAGATTTTCATTGCTATTTTTAAATGAATACTTATCATTATCAGATATGACAAGTACTATCTCGATGTTTTGAGACAGTAAACATTTAATGTATCAAAACATTGAACCAGTTCTGTGACTCAATTCATTGCTTCGAAACATTGACTCACTAGCTGATCTTCCAAATTTGTTTGATGACTCTTTTCGAACAATTTACTCTATTAAACAATGCAATAGCAAAGACATAAAAGCTGTGCTATCATAACTTTCAAGCAGTGTATGGGTAATTTGAAGAAAACTATCAAGTCTATTGGAAATGGTGTAGCTTTTATTATATCCTTAGAACACATGTCATTCAGTGGAAGATTTTACAACAGAAAGACATTCTACTAACAAAATCATTGAAACTTAGGAATTAGCAACATTTTTATGGTATAAAAAATTATAATATAATATAGCAGTATCCTATAACTATGTATTACATAAAACTGGCCTGGTTTTTCCCCTGGCTTTCTGTCCAAGCTTTGGCAATGGTTCTTTTCATTTCATCATCTCCAGATTCATACCTGAAAAACATTTAGTTGTAACAACAGTACTTCAATCTAAATATTAGTGAAACTTACATATTTTTCATCAATGACATTAGTCCCTCTGAGGGATCCATTTTGTCAGTGTCCATTTTAGGAGTTTTACTGTCTGATGCCTTTTTCTCCCACTCTGTGACATGTGACCAGTTATCTGATGATGTTTTTGCTGCATTTATCAATACCATATCTAAAAAATATCACAGATTACCACAATATCTTGAAAATAAACCTCAAACCATGTGGAAGAGTTTGAACACTAAACACAAAATCTTACCAGTTTTAACTTTCCATGTACTTTTTGCTGGATCAATATTTTTCAATAGATTTCTAATTTGCCAAATATGATCCTTATTATCCAGATCTTTCACAGTTAAACTTACAGTCTTTGCAGTAAATTCACAAGTGACATTTTCAGCTGGAACACTCTGTACATTTTTTAAAGTAATATAGAATTTGACATACTTTTCTGACTGATCCCATGCTGAAATACCAAATAAATCGTTTATACATTGCTAAAACTACAATTTAAAACTCACGGTTTAGGATCTACATAGTGACTAAGATAAATGACCACAGTGGAGATGTAGACAATGAGAGGGAGAAAAATAATATACCAACAGAAGTTACTAAGGCAATAAAAAGGTTAAAAAACAACAAATCCCCTGGAAAATATGGTATACCTGATCTGTTCAAGTATGGAGCAAATACCCTAAAAAACTACATAATAAAACTTGTTGCATCCATTTGGAGAGAAGGAAAACTCCTAGATAGTTGGAATGTCAGTATTACAATACCTATTTACAAGAAAGGGGATCCACTAATATGTGACAACTATCAAGGCATTACCCTCCTAAATATGGCTTACAAAGTACTGGCTTAAATACTTTATGATCATTTAAACAATTGATCAGATTTTCCTTCTCAGACAAACCATAGAAAAAACCAGATGAATATGGAAATGATACCCACCACCTCTTCATAGATTTTAAAAGCGCTTATGACAGTGTAGACAGATGTGCACTTTATAATGCAATGGCAGAATTAGATATTCCATCACATCTAATAACATTGGTAAAGGCAACTCTTTGTTGCAAGTTGCAGTTTGCAAGTTGAGTGCAAAGTCAAGGTGTAAAGGTCTTTTCAATCACATACTGGATTACGCCAGAAAGACAGTCTATCGTCTCTATTATTTAACATTCCGCTAGAAAGATCCATAGAGAAATCGGGCATAACAACCAGAGGTACGATCATCAATAGAAGTGTATAGATATTGGCCTACGAAGATGACATTGGCATAGTAACACGGACAAAACGAGACCTGATACAGGCTTTTGAAACATTAGAAAAATCCGCGAAGACAATGGGCTGCAGGTCAATGTATCCAAAACAAAATACATGAAGATCATGAACAGCACACAAATAGTGGCACCACAAGATCTGGTGACAGAAGAACACACATTCGAAGGGGTCTAGGAGTTTATATATCTTAGAACACAACTAAATAACAGCAACCTAGTAAGTGTAGAAATTAAGAGAAGAATATACCTGGCAAGCGGAGCTTACTTTGGACTAAAGCAGTTTTTAACATCACACATAATTAGCAGAAACACCAAGATACTAATATATGAAACTCTTATTAAACCTGTCCTGACATATGAGTCAGAGACATGGACTATGGTAAAAAGCGACAAAGAAATGCTAGGCTGCTTTGAAAGAAGAATACTTAGACACATATATGGAGGAGCACAAGAAAGAGGGATATGGTGCAGGCGCTACAATTTTGACTTGTATTAATTGTATGAAAAATGCAACATCGTCCGGTTTATTAAAATTAATAGACTAAGGCGGCTAGGACACCTTGAAAGAATGGAGACCCCCAAAGACAGGTATTATATCAAGAGCCAGTAGGAACCAGAAAGAGAGGCAGGCCAAGATCTAGATTTAAAGCTCAAGTCGAAGATGACTTGAGGAATCTAGGGGTCAGAAATTGGAAAGCCAGGGCGAAAGGAGACTAATTCTTGAACAGGCCAAAGATGATGATGATGTTTAGGACTTACATACCATAATTATTTATTTTAACTTCATATCTCTTATTTACAGTTCCGGTAGAGGGACTCACGATTGGAGAGTTTACAGGATTATTTTGAGTTTTCAGTTTTTCTTCCAAAAGTACCACTTCTGATACCAATTTTCTGATTTCTATGCTCAGTATGTCTTTAGTTTTTTGTCTAGTGGCTTGTTTTTCTAGCGATTCGAGCTCGGCAATGTCATTCTTCAGCTGCAATAGGTTTTCGTTAATAAGTAAGAGAATTCAGCTATTACGATAATACTTACTTCTGCGATTTTCTCCATTGTCATTGTTGAATACTTTCCTTATACACTATCCAATAGGTTCTATAAGAACTTAAATTTTACAGACAACAGTTTGTTTCTACAAAATTCAATACTCAGCAAATGAAGGAATATAAATTTAAGGTTATAAACTACTGACAGTGGCACAGTGGCAGCATATTGAAAAGGGCGGAATGATCTAGAATATTCGATTTTATGTCTACTAAGGTAAAATATTACTGGAATGTAAGACAAAAAGTTCTTATTTATCTTTATTAAAAAGATTTATTTGATTACATTTAGTATTATTATAATGTAATATTTTTTAAATATTAAGGTGGATGTTTTTCTACACTTCAAAGTCAAAGGGATATTATACGGGAAGAATAAATAGTAAATAGGTTATAATTTATGGACGACGTTTGGTAAATAAACAAAATAAAGCTTGAATTTAAAGAATAAAAATAACCACAAACGATTTCATTATGAGGTACAATATTTTAAATAATTACAGGATATAATATTACTGTTTAGTATTTATTATTGATATCTTATTGTTTTTCAGTGATGGTTGTTCTGTTCCTGGATGCAAAAATAAATCTACTGGGAATGAATGTACGGAATTTTTTCCACTACCAACAAATGAAAATACTAGACACACATGGCTTAAATTTTGTTGTTTAACTGCAGAAAATTTAGATCTCTCGAAAGGTAATTGTGTAATTAGTGGTTTTGTTTAATTATGTTATATACCTCATTCAGCATGTTGACTATGCTGCTAAACATTAAAATTAATGGCTTTTTTGAAGGCACTTTAATTACTATATTATTTTTTCTAGTTGCCATTTGTTCAAACCACTTTGCTGAAAATGCATATTTAACTGAAGTTAACAATGTCGGATCTTTAACATATCTAATAAAATTCCTGGATCCTGATGCTTTTCCAACACTCAACTTACCTCCAGCTGCAAAATACATATCGCTTAAGAACATTCAACTACCGCTAGAAAAAGGAAAAATCAAAACCATTAAAAATTTACAATATTTGGAAGAATCTAATGATGCTTTACAGAGGAGAATCGATCTGATTGAAAAGGACATACAACACAAAATGGAACAATTGGAACAACAGGAAAAAACTTTAATACAGTTAAGATCACATGATAGGGACGGTTTGTCACATGAAGCACTTTCAAAGGTGTTCTCCAGAAATCAGATAAAGTTGTTATCTGGTAATAAAAGAACAACTTGGAATGACGATGACTTTGCAGTTGGACATACTATAATGCATTTGAGTAACAGAAGGTTCTATAATTATTTAACCAAAGTTTTAAATTATCCCTTCCCAGCCGGTTCAAGTGTTCAAGCGTTTCTGAAGAGAAGTAAAGCCCTAAAGAGAGTGAGTTGTGTAAATAGTACAAAAAATTTGTAATAAATTTTTTTTATAATTGTGTTTGGTAAGATATTGTTTCCTTCCTATTAAAATCCTCAAATCAAGTTGAAAGAAAAGAAATTTGTCCTACGATAACATTAAGAAACATTAAAATTTTTATTTATTTAGCGTATGGACTTTCACAGTACGATAAATATACAAATTATATACAAATATACATTAAAATGTATGTTCGCCCACAGAATAATTTGTAATTCAGATACTCACATGTTTTGATTGGTTATGGACTAACATATTCCAAGTGGCAACCAATACAATGGATTCTGAATATATGACTATATTTAGATGATGAAAGGTGTTTTCTTCATAGACACATTTTTTGCTTAGATATATGCTACAAATTAGACCCTGAAAAAGGTTGTGGAAGGACTTAAAACAAATTAATTATGTAAAATATAAACAAATAGGAACTAAAAATTGTAAGAACTGTAAAAAATGACAACTCCATAAAATTATTCTTCCAGCAGACAAAGGGATATTTTAATCTCTTAGAAGGATACTGGATATGAGACTGAGGTGTATAGAAAACTAACACACACCAACATATCTAAATTACAAATTAAATCACAATATCAATATTAAAAAGGGAATCATTAAATCCTTATACAGTAGAGCCAAAATTACTTGTCCTAACGAAAATTTATTCTTAGAGGAGAAACATCCATTTTATTAAAAAATGACACCCCTTGTCAGTAATAAGCAATTTTTAAGAATATAACCATAATTTACTGGAAATGTATTGATTTTCTCTTTTACATAAAGTAAACAATTGTAGACATATAAGCAGTAGAAAGTTAAAATTTGATGTTTAATAAAAATTGGTTTACAAGATTGTTGATAAAACTACTTACTATCTACTGAGTTCCCCGACAAAATACATTATAGCACATGTGGCTGTAAGCAAGGCTTTAATAAATGTTCATTAATGCTGAGATTGGTACTGTGTTTTTAATTCTACATATAGCATAAAAAGCTTTATTCAATTTCATGTTCATTAAATTCACTTGCTCTGACCACTTGAGATTACAATCAATGAACACACCCAAAAACTTTGTAGAGTGAGTGGAAGATAACATATTGTTTCTATCATAGATGGTTAAGATATAGTCATAGGCAGATGACTTGTATGAATGAAAATAAATAATTTCCGTCTTGTCAATGTTTAATATTAGTTTGTTGGTATTACACCATTGTATAAAGCAGTCAACAACAGTCTTCATTGTCATTTTAATTCCTCAAGTGTACTTGTAGAGACTATTAATGAGATATAAGCAAACATTTATATTAGTGCCCTTATGTGATCTGGTAGGTCGTTAATAAAAATTAGGAATAATAATGGTCCCAGCACAAATCCCTGTGGTACTCCTTTATTTGATGTGCTTGATGTGATTTGATGTACTTCTGAGCTTGATTCTTTCATTTTAACAACACTCTTTCTGTCACTTTAGAAATTTAATACCCATTTTAGAAATATCCGTCTAAAACCAATGTTATATAATTTATTGCGAATAAATGTTATGTCTGCAGTCAAAAGATCGTGATAGATCAAAAAATAGTCTTGCCACATGGTTTCTACTATTTAATTCATCATAAATACGCTCAAACAAGCTGTATGCAGCCGTGAGTGTTGACTTTTTTTATCTAAAGCCGTGTTGGTTTGGAGTTAATAAATTGTATTCTTCTATAAAATTTAACATTCTATTAAATACAACCTTCTCTATTACTTTGGAAATTATGCTAAGGGTATATACTGGTCTATAATTTGAAATATCATGGGGGTCATTCTTTTTGAAGATTGGAATAACTTTTGCAATTTTGGATGGAAATTGGCTGGTTCAAATCAATATATCATCACTTATCAGTTTTATTATTTTTACATATATGTTATCAATAACAGTACTAGGCTTATTTTTTAGTTGATCGATTGTATTTTTATTTCAATTGGAGTTACAGGTAAAAAGAAAAATGTTTTGTTAACCATTTTTGAGGTAGTACAAGAAGAAGGCAACAATGTGCCAAAATGAGTTTGAAGATTGTATTCTGTAATTGTAGCAAAATATGAGGCAAAAGAATTAGCAAGACTTGGTAATAATTTTATTATCATAATGTAGAATAATATCAGACCTGTTCATTTGTCTACCGGTTTCACTGTTTACTACATTCCAAATTGGTTTTGTTATATTGTAAGATTGATTAATTAAGTAACTATGAAAGTTTGTAGTGTTTATTAATAGAAAATTATATTCTTTTTTTTTGCCTGTTTATAAGTATCTTGGCACTCGCTTATTCCCATTTAAATACATAGTTATTACTTTAAAACTGCCACAAGAAAATAGCTTCAGAACAATATAAATTATGAACAAGTATGATTAGATTTATGTAGCACAACAACGCTAGCAAAATAATATATGTTGGAGATAAAGATGGGACATACGGACATTAAGCTGTGTAAAATATGCTTAATCCATGCAAATTAAAGAACAAAAATGTTTTTCCATAAAAAAATTCAATAAAATAACTTTCAATGATATAAAAATATATTTAAAATAAATGTTATGTCTTTGATATACAAAAGCGTTAGTAATACTGCAGCTTGTTTCGTCTTATAGTTATCTACAATTTTCAACAAATTACAAAGGAGTTTCTGCAACTGCCAACATCTTTCTGATATCAACAATCTTCTCTCTGGGTTTACCTAATTTAGCACCTTTATCTTGTTCATATTTGTCAATCTTCTCCCACTGTTGCCAATTAACAGTTTGTATATTTTTCTCGTTAATAATCTTCCTTAACTGTTCATAACCTTCCTTTGGTACATCTATCAAGTTTTCTTTGTTGATATCATCAACAATTTTATCTGCTACTTCAAATGCACTGCCCATTGTACTCAAAATGACTCCAGTAGGACCAGTTCCTAACCATCCTGATACATACAGGCCTCTATCGACTTTAGAACTACTGTTTTGTACTACACCTTTCTTAAAATCGAATGGAATACCATTGTCTACTTGTATAGACTTATAACCTATGCTAGGAATGGCTAAATCAGTTTTTAGTTCTTCTATTTGGTCTGTCAGCACAGCTGTTTGTGTTAATACATCTGATCCATCTAGTTTGTTAATTCCTAGTACAACTTTTTCAACATTACTGCTTCCAATCAGCTCTAAAGGAGATCTATAGAATATAGGTCTAAATGTTTTATCACCTTTTATGTTATTTTCACTAACAGATTTCAACATAAGTTCCGTGATTCGCTTTTTTGGTCTTGAAAGTATGGATAGATGGTCAGGTACTCCTGTAAAGTCATTAGATCGCCAAATTGTTGAACAGTTGGGCAGTTTGAGCATTTCTCTCAGTTCTTTTATAGTATATGCAGCTTGTAGAGGTCCTCTGCGACCAATGAGGTAAACTGTTTTTATTTTTGATCTTGATAAAGATTCCAGTGCATACTCAGTTATATCGGTTTTCTAAAAATAAAAAAATAAATTTAAATTACTTATATCTGATTTGAAAACACATGTTTTTATCACAGAAATTGCCATACCATTAATTGATTTATTCTATTCTAATTAGATCTACTCTCACCTTCAAATCATCCACAGGACTTAAAAGGATTCTAGCCACATCTATTGCAACATTTCCCTGACCAAAAATAGTAGCTGTTTCCCCACTGAGATCTATATCTAAGTTTTTATCCCAGGGTGTACCATTGTACCACCCTACGATTTTTCTAGCTTCTATAACATTTTTTAAGCTTTCACCAGGAATGTTGAGTTTTCTACTTTCATCAGCTCCATAGGTCTAAAATAAGTTGAACATAAAGAGTATTTATTATTTAATACAAGGATTAGGACATACACAAAACTTTGAAGATGACAGAAATGAAGAATATAAAACCATAGCAATATCAAAGAATATAGACGCTTATAAGCGTGTATATTCTTTGGCAATATGCTACATCTAGTATATTAGGGTCATGATTTCTTAATATATCATATCAAAAGGTCTACTTACTAGGAGTACAACATGATACGCACTTCTCAGCTGGTCTAGAGTAACATCGCTCCCCAAGCTAACATTACCTAAAAATTTCACACATTGGCTCTCTGCTACCTTCGTGAAAGTATTAATAACATTTTTAACTTCTGGATGATCTGGAGCAACACCAAACCTAAAATTAGTTTATAAAAACATTTGGATGTTAAAAAGCAGTTCCATTTACCTTACCAAGCCAAAAGGTACTGGTAGCTTTTCGATGATGTCTATCTCGGGGGAGTTTAACTTTTTTAGTAAATGTTGGGCCGCGTAAAATCCAGCGGTTCCTGCTCCCACGATACAGATTTTTGGTTTTATTTGGGTTTTTGTACTTAAAAATCTATTTAAAAGGTAATTAGGTCGAAACGTCATTTTTAGGTTAAATCATAGGTGATCTGTGAATCATATTAAAATTAAATTCTTCTTTTTGATAGTGATAAGATAAGGCAAAAAAACTCATCTAAGTAGGTGTATGTACACATTCTCACATACAATTTTTTTTTCTATTTATTTTCAAGATGAAACTCAAGTCATAAATGTACTTACTGGATATTTTGTTAAGACTAGCTAATATTATGGTGGCCATAAAATTCGTAGCAGGTTTAACAACAGATCGATAAGCCATACTTCCACTTGCCAATTTAACATGATATGAATCAACATATACACCAACAAAATCATAGGGACATGAATTTTTAGAAGCATCAAACTTGGATCCACCTATGAAGTAACAATAATTAAAAATTGTTTTGAACAAAAAAACTTTTGAGCTAGGAATTGTTTAAAATTGAAATGACAAAATTACATGAATGCGTACAAAATGGAAAATAACTGAAAAGTTACATGTAGAAAAAGTAGAAACCGAAAAAAAAACGACGTGTAAAGTATAAAAGACTCGGTAGTAAAGAGAAACAAGAATAAACATTTTATTTAAAAAAGAATGTAAGAAGCATAATTGTCTGAAGGGATGACTAATGATAGGAGGAATATCTCTCTGGTACAAAAATGTTAGAGATAGAACATAAAGTAACCACTAGAAATAATCGAAGAACAACTGATAAACTACCTATAGATTAAATAATATCCTCTAGATATACTTACACACATTAATTTGTATATTTCAACTTCGAATGTAAGACAAAAACGTAATCTGCTATAAGTGTAGTACTTATGTAGTTGCAAAAATTGGGATTGAATAAAATTTCATATTTATATTTTATTTCAATTGATTGTCACTCTGACATCGCACCGCCCTGGTTTCATTGATATTTAGAAGTTTTAGTACATACTATGATCTTTTAAAAAAGCATTAAAATACCTAATAAATACCAGATAAAATTATAATATATTGTGGACTTAATAGTAAAAACAATAAATTTCCGAAAGACGATATTTATGATGCGAATTGCAGCAATGTTATTTCAAATTTTTGAAAGTACATATATTTTATTCCCATAGATGGCGCTAGTTCGCTCTTAACAATGTACACGTAGCCATTGTTGAGGTATACCCTTGACTGGTAATTTTGAGTTATCGCTTCTCGGCCTCTGGCTAAGATCAAAGTGTAGTATCTGTTCTTATCAGCTTAATATCTGATACGCCCCGCATGCGGGGCCAGTATATTAAACTGATTTTTGGAATTAGATGGAAGGTTAAGGGGCTTGCTCCACTTCTATCCAGTGTTGCCAATGCAAAAATAAAAATTATCCGAATGTTTGGAGCCAAATATCCGAAATTATCCGAAGTTTAGAGCTAAATATCCGAAATTATCCGAATCTCAGAAAAGAAGACGAATTCATTGATCGACAGTTGACATTGGTAGATGACAAATGGCATAATGAGATATGAGATGAGATAATGGAAAGAAAATTCTTGTATTTGATAGAATTATATTTATTTAAAGAAAAAACAACTACATACCTAAACCTAATACAAAAAAAACGTAAAAACAACAAATTAAACAATTAACTCATAATACTTATGAAATAAATAATTATACATAATACATAAATTTGTAGGAACCAAGTAGCACTGGTGCAGATGAATGAAATAAAAAGTTAAAAAACTGTAAAAATTAGTAATATATAAAAAAGGGATATAGTCGGTTCACTAAACTCGGACAGAACTGGATAGTGATATTAGTAGGTAAGTTTATTATTTTTTGCCAAAATTGGCAAAATTACCAACTATTTAATTACCAAATTGGCAAAATTACTTACTAAAATCACTAGCCAGTTGTGTCTGAGTTTAGCCAACCAACTATATTAAAAATTCCTAGTTCCTACAGTTTATTCATTTTTTTTGTCCCATATTTTAGAATTAATCATGTTGTTTTCTGGTTGAAATTTAACACAACCACCACTTTGTGCAATACCTTGTTTTGAAGCTAATAATGCTTTTAAAGTAGAGGTATGTAATAAATTTCGTTTATCCGTTTTAATATTGAAAACATCACTAAAAATTCTTTCTACACATGCATTTGAAAATGGCAATATGAGCAACAAACAAACAACTTTTTTTAAATTGGGAAATAATTCCATCCCAGCAGCATTTTTTAATTTAAAAACGTTTTTCCAATATTCTTCTGTATCTGAGATAGCTTCTATATTTAATTTTAATTTGTCGTAGTCTAAAAGGGCATGTTGCCGCCATTCATTATCCAATTCTTGCATTTGAATATGTCCAGTTAGTATTGGAAAACGGTCAACTATAGGTTTAAGAGATTTATTTACAAAGGATTGTGCTTGTCTTGGTTCGATAAAGGATAATAATTCATAAATTGGATCATCAAACACAAATTTAGTTTTTATATTACTAACTAGTTCAATATAAAATTCTAATATTGTTTTTAAGAACTGATTACAAGCTTGTCCAATTTCAGGAACTTTACGTAATGACTCAAAACTGTCATGGGCGGCGAGGCCAAGATAAATTTCTTCTAATTTAACAAAGTTTTGGGGATTTTTGTGGTTTAATTGGAATAATAATATATCATTTTATCTGATAATATTGATGTCTATGAAATTGGAGCATATTGTTGTGAGGAGTTTAGTTGTTTCGGGTTTTAATTTATGTAAAAGTGGTTTGTTTGTCTGAAAGAGAGTATTAAACTCTGTCATTATTTCAAGCACATAAGACATGAACTCTAGATAAATTTGTGTAAATTGATTATTCATAGTAGATATCATTTCATCTGTTGTTAGTGACGGATCTTCAAATACTAACTCAGTGAAATAAGCTTTTAAAGGCTGAAATTGCTCTAGAATTCTGTCAACACATTGCTTAAGTGAAAGCCAACGAGTTATAGCAGGTTTTAAAATTTTGTGTATATCAGTTTTAAAAAAAGACTGAAATTCTTGTAGACGTTCATTTCTCATGGCACTTCTACTAAAGTGACTTCCTATATTTCTTACAAGATCTTCTATGGATCTAGGTAACTTCAAGCAAGCATGTGAAATTGCCAAGTGTGCCATGTGACATGAACATTTAACGCATAATATGTTTGGAATTTCGTTTTTTAATAAGGCAAAAACTGAGTGATACTGACCAGCCATTACATTGGTAGTATCGGAGGAAAATGCTACTAAATTAGAAATAGGAATATTTTTATCCACCAATCTTTTTTTTAATGTATCAAATAACTCATTGGCTTTACTTCCTTCGGCCTCAACAATATCGAAAAAACTTGTTACAATGTTTGAATTATTAGAGTCATAGTAGATCACTGCAAATGCGCATTGTTTTTTTGTAGCAATATCTGTTGTTTCGTCCATTATTAAAGAAAAAAAGCACCCAGGTTCTCTTAATTGAGAACTCAGTCTTTCACTAAAACATTTTCCCAAACTCTCAGTAACAACAGCTGAGCATTTAGTTCTTTTTAAAGTTATAGATTTGATTATTTCAGAATCAGGGGCTATGTTTTTTAATAATGGTACTAAAGTATCTACAAACGAAAATGGGAGGTTGTTTGTAGCAACTAAGCCACAAAGCTTTAACTCAGCAATTCTCGTATTTTCCACCAAAGTTGAAGGTCTAAACACAGAAGTAATTTTAACATTTTCTGCTACTTTTTTCATATTTCCCTTATGTTTGGTACTATTGGCATGATTTGTTAATACTGATTTATGTGAAAGTAACTTAATGTTACATACCTTGCAGAAAGACGATTCGTTTTTATTATCTTGAGCCTTACTTGTTTGCGGATGATCACTTTGAGATACCTTCTCAAGCCATCCAATAAACATTGGCATTTTTAACCAAGCTTCATTAAATTTGTATGTATATGGTTTACTGTCTTTTTTTTGTCTACAAATTTTTTTCTTGGGTGGAGTATTGTCATCATCACTTTTATCGTCAGTCTATAAAAAAAAAATACCATTGCAAAACTATAACTTTACATTATGTTATTGTTTCAAAATTATATCAGTTCAGAGGTAAGGGGTAATTAAGTCAAAATTTAAGGTAAGGGAGTCATATTTTTGTAAAAACTAAATCAATTTCAGTAGGTACATGTTGTGCCTAACGAATTCTAGCTCGTGGATAAAAGACATCATAAAGCATTTATTTTTTTCCAATTTATTTTAGTATGTTAGGTTAAATTTATTTAAACATTAAAATCATTCTGCTATATTTCATTCTGTGACACACCTTAACTCTGAATATAAAAATATAAACTTCAAATTTATTAATCTGATATAAATAAACTCTAAATATAAAAATATAAAATTCAAATTAATTATTCTAATACAGCCTAAAAACAGTAACCGGGTATACTACTTAACAAATTACATTTTAAAAATTAATTATATCTTACCTTATTTGTTTTTTGTATAAATTTGTCCATGTTTGTGAACCAGAAAAGGACGAAAACTTAGGGGCTTGAATGTTTGACTTGAATAATTATTTTTTTCTCAATTTGTACCTTATATATGTAATCCTATGTGAAATACCTACCCACTCAAATATGTGTGAATCCTCTACTTCAATGTGTGTTGATTGGGTATTGGCAGTTAAGGGATTTTTTTTGGCCAGATATATTTGCTTGGGGAATAACAGGTCACTTTATACTTGGAGATTCTTAATAATAATATGCAATATGCTACACTAATATTGTGATATTTCAAAAATTTTAGGGTTTATCTATTTTACAAGAAATTTTTTAACAATATCAAAGAAGAAATACTTTGTGGCTAATAGTCGGTTTACAAAATACAGATAAATGCGAAATCCTTACTATGTTTACACTTTTAATTGAAAAATGATAAAAATACATACCTAATAATACAAAATTTAACAATTTTTTTATGAGGGATAAGTAGACGTATATTTTTGATAAAACTAAGAAACGTAATATATAAACAAAATAAAAATTGGAGTAGAAAATACTGTAGCTCAAAATTACACAATGCTTTTACGTCACTTTATTTACTGCTTTACTTAAAGCTATTAACTAAGGTCCTAAATATTTAAACTTAATAATTCCCTAATCTCTTAGCCTTCCATTTTGGCTGTATTCTGTGTCCAACGTGTCTTAAATGCACAGTCGATATTTGGAACTTTTTGTATTTCTAAAAGTTACAGACCACACGACGGTGGTCTATTAGGACAAAATTATCTATATATCAAAACTAAAAGGCTATATTTTTGTATATTTAGATTACATTTTTTTGAGGGCCTTGGAGGAATCTGAAAAAAACAGATATGTAGGTATATTATTCATTTATGTCATATTATCGGAGTGTTAATCCTAAACAACTCTTAACGGAGGTGGCCGAAAATCGATTTTTGCATGTAAATTTGCTTTCTAAGACCGCCATGGAATGGAAATTTTCTTCAATTGTGTTTTTGTACACATTGTTGAGAGTACTATAACATAGCAGTTTTAAAACAGGTAAAAAATGATCGCAGTCCTCATAAATGCAGGTATAATATTACAAATTATCCATTCAGGTAAACTTTAATTTAGTTTCTTTCCAAACTACATAGTTTCCTGTGACTTTAATCGTTTTTCACCTTCAGCCTGCACCCTTTATATTATTATTATTTATAAAGATCGTCGTGTTAGGCAATTTTAATATGTACGTACATCTAACTGTTTTAATGGTAATATAACTTCGGTCATAAATAAGATACTTAATACAGAAAATATATTTATTTGATTTTAAATGAGTACTTATAAAATATATGTATTAACAAATAAGTAAAATAAAAAATATAACATCAAGTCGATAGACTCTCGAATTATCCGAAATTATCCAAAAAATTGTTCAATCCGAAAATTATCCGATGGCCCACGAAATTATCCGAAAATCGGATAATTATCCGGACATTGGCAACACAGCTTCTATCACGGGTTGGCCCGGTATTGCAGTACCGCCGGGATCGGCCCACAAAAAATAATCAAAACATAATTTAGATAAGATAGATCTTTTTAATTATGAACTAAAGATAAACCCACGCGCACGCGGTTAATCTATTTTGCACTTGTGATCGTCACTTGGCGGTAAATACAGAGAACATACGAACACAATGTTTTGCATGGAGTTTTGTCAGATCTAGTATTGTTTTAACGTTTATCTATACGTTGACAAATAAATGTGTGCACTTTTAGATGAAATATATTTCAGAATATTAAATTAAGATAAACTTTTATCATCATCAAGTGACGTATGCGCATCGACATACAAAATTCTATTGCGAAGTGGTTTCATCTTGGAAGTCATAGCACCATAGTATTCAGTACTATGGGTGAATACTAAATTTTTAGGTGTTAAAACTTTGAACAAAAAAACACTGGCGCAGCTTATTGTATATATTGTGTCATCTAACACAGTATAAGCCATTGACACTACTTACAACAATTCAGTAATAAATAATAAAATAATGGCAATTGATTAAAAAACTTCCCACCCGAGAAACGACGAAAGCTTGTCGATACATTTGTTCATAGAACTTAAAATCTAATATGAAGAATCCTTGAAAACAGTAGTCAAATTATACTTACACTAGAAACAAACTAATTTTATTATTAAAACTAGTGTTTTTTTAAGTAGATGTTTTGTATGAATTGTATTTTTTCTGTACTGTAAAATATATAACCAATCAATTATTCTGTACTGACAGCAGTTTTTTTAAACATACAAATGATTGAACTAAAAGTTTTTTTGTACGCTAAAAAAGCGATTGAATTTAATAGTTCATTTCAAAATAGGATACAACTCGTTGACTGGTTAATTGGCTTTTTAGAACTAACTGTGTATTAAGAACTTATTATCTATATCATTTCCATTGCTTGACATGGTTTAAATATATTTCATATTATTTGTTGGCGTTCATTAGCGTTATACCAAAATTTATATTTCTATTATTTTAATGAGCAAAGTTCAGTAAGAGTCCAAAAGTTAATTATTTTCGTATTGAAGTTTAAACAAGGAATTAGTTGAAGTTAAATAAAAATATTTTGACTAATTTTCTAATGAAATCTAAAATGATTAAATTCCCTTAAGTAACAAAGGAAATTTGTTATTGTTTATTCTTTAGTATTAGTAATGTTTAATTTAAATGATGATAGGAAAAGTTTCCTTATTATTTCTGTGCTGATTAGTTAAGTAAAGACATTTGTGTAACCGAAATAGGGTCGTTTCATTCCAACTTTATCTTAGATTTCTGACTTATTTGTTTCCTTTTTAGGAATTTTCGAGAGACCATGAGACTCTGAAACTTTTGGTTGCACGGTACTTAATTCAATTCGCCTGGATATATCACGTTTATGGTAGGGAAGGGTAAAAAGTTGTAATAAAATACAATAACAGAAATTTATTGTAATTAATAATAATCATGTTTATTTTTATTATACTTACATTATAATATAGATTTACAAGAAATAAGCATACTGAATGCTAAATAAACAAAAACTCACTGAAGTAGAGCTACCATAATAGTAGCAACTCTTGTGCCTGAGACTTAAAACATAATTATATATACATAAAACCACAGAAATTATTTAACAGGTGTATAAATGTGTATATTATAATTTTAATATAGCATGTGACATAAATGGTTCAATAAATTCAAGAAATGTGAAAAAAAAAAGAATAATATATAGTGCAAATTGTTTATAATCATCAGAATACGTCTTACTTTTTGGAGATTTAGTTTTTAAAATTGCTTGAGCTTTCACTATTTGTGTTATAAGCTTGTTTAATGGTTTGTCACACAGTTTATTAAATTTATTTAAATATGAATCTTTAAATTTAAATCTCGATATGTACGTAACGTAATTTGTAAATGTAAACAAACTTCAGTTTTCAGGTTGACGTTGACGATACTGAACACAGCAGATTGCTAACAAGAATAGCCAAGGACAACGCACGTTTTTATTTGAGCACCCTTCCGTTTGGTGACACTGCTAGTCTTGTTTCTGCGCATAGAGGTAGGAAACCAAGGTTAGTATATATACAGGTTGTCTGGTAACTTTACACCAATCACCGTCGAGAATCTAATGGCGGGAATGACGTCACTGAGAATGCTACATTCAAATTCATTCACTTTACTCCTTGAAATGAACTCGAAAAGCAATAATGATTGTAAATATATTAATCTGTATATATCGAAAAAAATACGTTTGGACTTTTAATAACTATTTATTTCATTCAATCTTTAAAAAATGTGGGAGATAAGTACCTACAGAGTTACAGAAATCATGAAATATTATTGCAGCTAAACATATGTAGTAGAATCATCGAGCAATAAGACAAAAGAGGGAATGTAAAGGTAGTGGGGGTAAACATATTGATAGACAGGAAGTGCCATCTTGAGAGGCCACTTTAGACAAGGATAGACAGTCTCTTTCCTTGTTTAAGAAGTCAAATTTAGTTAGGTTATGTTATTGTTTGTCCCAACTGTCACATGAAATTTTATTTATATTGAAGTTTTTTTACCAATTATGTCACTTTTTAGACTATTATCGTTAATATTTAATTAAAACTTTCTTGTCTGAAAAATATTTTACAGGTATTGTTAACAAGTGTTGGAAAATTTAAATTTAGCGCCTTTGCATTTCCGGATATGTCCGCCATCAGAGGCCACTTTTTTGGTCTCCTTTTCATAACGATTAGATTCCCTCTTTTATCTTTTTGCTCGATGAGTAGAATACCATTACTATAATAAATTGGAAGTAGATTATTTCTTGTGTATACATGTGACTAAAACATGTTGAATGTACTATATTAATAATGGGTTGAATACAATTTACTTTTTTTAAATTATTTTTGAATTGAGTATATTGCATGTAGTGGATTATTATAAATTCCTCCAAACAAATAAACCATGCTGAAAAAGAGATTAAACTAAAGATTTATATATCAGAATTAGTAGTTTTTCCTTTAACTTCAATATATTTAAGGAACATCTAATTACATTACTGGATTATATAATAGAATATAAAAAATATTAAAACATGATTCCATTAAATAGATACCTTTTAAGTTTGTACATAATTAACAGTAAATTATAAAAATCAAAATCAGTGATTTAACACATTTTTACTGAACATTTAAATGACTATACCTACTTACCATCTTTTTTCAGCTTTTTAGGTTGTATGTTTAATAGTTTGGCTTTTAAAGCATCTTCATAATCTTCCATGCGAAAGTGTATACTACAAACTCATTTATTAAAACAGGACCACTTATCCTTCCTATGACACTTGCTCATCCATTGCTTTTGAATTTTTACATTTTTTTGGAAATGAAAATAACATTAAATTCCTTCCTTCCTTTTTGGAATTTTTTGAATTATATTTGCAGATTGTTACACTACAAAAATTTCCACCAGTCATATGAATCAATAAAAAAATTAAATTAAGTTGTGTTTTTCTTGCATTAATCTCAATGTTACCTTTAATATATAATACAGCAGAAATAAAATCCAGTAAGACACAACCACGTTAAATGTATCTTAACACTTGTATAAAAGTATTGGGTCCAAGTTGTATACTAAAAATCACTCAATAATATCTATAGACATATTATATCTCATGATATTAACATAAACTAAAGCACTAACGATATTTAACAACAAAATATATCTCCAAACCACTTCTCCTATTTTGTTTTCAAACAATTCGTAAATGACCCCCTGGGTGACGTCACACGTTATATTTCATTCTATCAATGTCATGAGTTACCATGCAACCTCCCTTTTACTAACCTTGGTTATTACCTATACTGAACACAGCAGATTGGAAACAAGGATAGTCAGGACAATGCACGTTTTTATTTGAGCACCCTTCCGTTTGGTGACACTGCTAGTCTTGTTCCTGCGCATAGAGGTAAAAGACCAAGGTTAGTACATAGACAGGTTGTCTGGTAATTTTACACCAATCACCGTCGAGAATCCAATGGCTGGAATGACGTCACTGAGAATGCTACTTTCAAATTCATTTGCTTTACCCTTGAAACTTGGAATGAACTTGGAAAGCAGCAATGATTGAAAATATATCAGTCCATTTATATTGAAAAAAAAAAATACGTTTGGACTTTTACTCACTATTTATTTCATCCAACCTCTAAAAAATGTGGGAGATAAGTAACTGCAGAGTTACATAAATCATGAAATATTATTGCAGCTAAACATACATATGTAGTAGAACAGCATTATAAGCCTCATGAGTCATCTGCTAAAATTGTTCCTAAAGATAAGAAAATCTACAATCTGTGTGAAAGTCAAATTTTGATATCAACTGCGACGTATACACATGTCGTGTTAATTACGAGAAAGCGTTTCATCGAGTACAGCACGCCAAGATGATGCAAATACTAAAAGAAACAGGAATTAATAACCATTATCTGAGAATAATTAGAAATCTTACTGGAATCAGACAGCAAATCTCAGAGTTAAAAGTGAACACACACTGACTATGTGTTCTGTATTTTGTCTCTTCTGATCTTCAATCTTCTGCTTCTTCTTCAAGAGTCACAACCTCTCTCTTGATACAAAAGTAAAAATGCTGCGATGCTACGTCTTCTCTCTCCTTTTTATGGTGTTGAATCGTGGACCTTGAACAAAGATAATGTGCAAAAAACTGGAAGCATTTGAGATGTGGCTATATCGGAGAGTGTTTAAGATCTCGTGAACTGACCGAGTCAAAAATGGGAAATAAGAACCGAGAGGTATATAGTGACCAACATCAAATCTCATAAGTTACAGTTCTTCGGACATATTATGAGAAATGAATCCAGATATGCTCCTTCAAGCCATCTTGCAAGAAAAAATATTTGGAAAACGAGGTCCAGCAAGAAGAAGAACATCTTTGTTAAAGAACCTCAGAATCTGGTTGAATACAACATCTGTGCAGCTTTTCCGCGCTGCTACAGATAAGATAAAGATTGCCATGATGATTGCCAACATTCGTAACGGATAGGCACATCAAGTAGAAGAAGACTTGGTCAAATTTCAGCTAATCAAAAGATTTTCAGGATGCAAGAAGTTCAAGAAGGGATGCCTTAGGCTAGCACTTAATACCGTTTTTATATTACTTACATTTTTGGTTCAAATTTGCCCACTGATGCAAGAACAAATATAGCCTTCTACGCTGAAGATACGGCAATCTAAACCGCAGCCAAAGAAGACAGAAAAATATTAGACCTATTAGAAGACCACTAAGAAAAATATCAGACTACTGAAAAAAACAAGAAACAAGCCACACGATGACGAAGAGAACTAAATTCAAGTAATTTTCACATTTCTCTTTAATTTGTCTTTTAAAAAAATCTGCAATATCATTTAGGTATTTTAACAGTCAGGAGGTCCATGCATATAATTATCTACTTCAAATAATACCAAAGACCTTGTATTAGGCAGAAAGTCTGGCAAAAAATATATATCACAAGGTATCTTTATCAGATCATTCATTATCGATCATATGTTGGTACACAACTTTTATTGGATTGTTCAAAAATACATATTGAACAGGTGGTTACGTGTATTTCCTCATGTCATTATACACCATTTGAGTTGTTACATCATTAACATAATTCTGTCTAAATTTCCATATATTAGTCCGTTATAATTAAAACCCATAATTACACATTTTTATAATCAGTTGTTTAGATTGAAAACTGTACAATACAACTTAGCTTATGATGCAGTGTTTTGCATTTAAATGCGCTCCTTGCACGATCGGAACACTTGTGTTAAAGTTCATTTCCTACAATTGCAGAACAATAAAGAATATTTATGCATCATATATAAATATATAACACAACAGTTTAAATTACGTTGTGTTTTACTACTACGAATCAAGATTATTTTCTTCAATGAAGTACAAGATGTTCATTTCTAAACACTCGAAAACTTTCACTGCACTCGGGTGACTAGCCACTACAGTAGATTACCTATATTTTTTCCCAAAAATATTCAAGGTTAATTTATTTTTATCTGAAAATCTCATATGATTTTTTTGTTTTTTATATCGGGATTAGGAGTCTGTTTTAATTATAAGTTTAATACATAAATACACAAGAAACCTTTTACAGTTAACTACTTTTCATTGAACAACCGGCAAAATAGTAATTAAAATGTTTATCGTTTAGTAAAGGAAACATATTTTAGTAAATATTTTCGTGAATTTAATTTTATCAAAATGTTTTAAAAATCGTGTGGGGTTTTATTGAGTGCACTTTGTACGACCCGCTGGAAAAGTTTTTCGTAATTTGCGGTTAACAGTGGGAAAGGTTATACGTTAAATTCCGATACAGCATTTTCATCAAAATGACCGAAAGAATCAAGATCGACGAGCCTCTCTGGGATCAAAACACATTCGTAGGACGTTTTAAGCACTTCTTGTGGGTTACAGATCCTAGAACGTGCATCGAGAGCGAAGAAACGTTGGACAACGCTAAATTACTGGTCGAGAAATACAGAAAAGGTCTGGAACCGCCGGGGACGACGAAGGAACAAATCATCTACGCAAAAAAGTTATATGAGAGTGCTTTCCATCCCGACAGTGGCGAAAAGCAGAATGTCTTCGGAAGGATGTCTTTCCAAGTACCTGGAGGTATGGCAATCACAGGAGCCATGTTGCAGTGGTACAGGTAATTAATAACATTTTATATTTAGAACGTAATCCATAAATAAGTTCTCTTATAACATAGGACATTGTGTAACCAATTTCTAGTTTTAGATTTGCAATTTCCTCAGATTGACAAATTATTTCACTTACAGGTCACTTACTAATACATAATTATTACAAAAATGGGCCAATAAACAACAGGAACCAATTTTTGTCATAAGTGGGCTTAAAATAGTTTTGTTTTTTTATTTTTAAATGCAAAAGTTTCCTTTTTTCTTTGATTCTTTTCAATAATGTTTTCATTAATGTTTTTTATAGTCAAATGTACACCTTTTTAAAATGTTCTATTCCTAAAGTCAAAAAAGGGTCAGCAACTCTACTTCCAGGTTTCCAAACTGGTTCTCTCAAGATTTTATCCATAAAATTAAAAAGAAAAATAGTCTGCATCATTTTTGTGTTTAAATAAAGCCTTAGGGAGCCCAAAGAGTGTTGAATTTCAGCTTTTAAGAACTGATATTAAAAACCAAACCAAATATGAGCCTAACTTATACAAATGTTCTCTTGAAAACCATCTACTTGCTGACCCAAACAAATTCTGGACTTTCTTTTAAGTCAAAATATAAGAATAGTGAAATTCCCATAGAAATGACATTAAACAACTCCAAGTTTAATACACCTTTTGATATTGCCAGTGTCTTTGTTAAATATTTTGCATCAGTGTATGATACATCTGACTGCACACATTGTCATTCTCAAAGTACTGGGTGGGGTTCTTTTACCTTTAAATATATCACAAAATTAGATGTTGTAAATATTATTAAAAAAGTTAAACGCAAAAAATCTACAGGCCTGATGAAATACCAACCTATATCTATAAGGGAATAGCTGAATCCTTGGCTAAACCTCTGGTGTTTTTGTTTAATATGTAGATTGAACATGAATATTTTCCAGATATTTTAAAAGTGGTAACAATTTCTCCAATACAAAAAAAAAAGATAAAAAAATTACATTCAAAACTACAGGCCTATCAGTGTGTTAAATAGTATTGCTAAGATTTTTGAAAGTATTCTTTATGATGATATATGAATATGTTAAGAGTAAAATTAGTAAATTCTAGCATGGTTTTTTAAGAGACAAACCAACAGTATAGTAACTAATCTCTGTGTTCTCTCTGAACATATTGCTAAGGCTATTAAGGCAGGAGAACAGTTGGATATTCTGTATACTGATTGCAAAAAAGCATTTGATAAGGTTAATCACTGTATTCTTTTAAATAAATTGGTACAGTTTGGTCTCTCAAGAAAAGCTTTTAATTAATTAAAATCTTATTTGTCAGATAGAAAGCAAAGTAAATGTAGGTAACTGGAGCGAAGTTTCTGGGGATATATTTGGATGCAGGATTAACCTGGGAACAACATATAGTTAATCTATAGAAAAAGCTTTCCCGACAACTTTTCCTCTTCAGGAACCTTGTACAAGTGACTTTCAGCGAAACTATTTTAACAGCTTATCATGGTAATTTTCATTCTTATCTGACATATGCTATTCTCTCCTGGGGTCACTCTTGTCATATTGATAAAGTGTTTGCACAACAAAGAAAGTGTGTTCGTATTATCTCTGGGCTCTCTTATAGAGCAGACTGTAGAAACTCCTTTAGAGCTTTAACAATTTCAACTTTACCTTGTGTATACATTATGCAGTGTCTGTTGCACATTAAACAAAATCTTAGCCAATACAATGCGCATGTCGATTTTCACAATTATCCCACCAGATTTAATATTAATCTTATACCAGAATTTAGCCATCTTGAGAGATCCAAAAATGGTTCAAGGTATTTAGCCATAAAATTCTACAACTTAGTGCCAGCTAGAATAAAAGCTCTTAATTTTCATTAGTTTAAGGCAAAAATTAAGAGTTACCTTATAGTGAATGCTTTTTTTTACATATGAGGAGTATTTTACTTCCAATTTTAATTTGTTGTAGGTAATTGTTAACAGTATAATTTAAAACAATGTATCTATGTTTTATGTTTATATTTATGTGCATATTAACTATATTGACATATATTTTATTTTCTTTGACTTGTAAAAAATACTTTTGTATTAATTTATTACCAATAAACCATCTATCTATCTACCTGAGAGTAAATCAAAGGCAACTTTATTAAACGATTTTTTAACAACCTAAATATTTAATAACATTAGGATTAAGAAACATTTTCATGTTTTGTTTTGTTCGTAAGTTTTTTATCACTTTTTTTTAAAGATAACTCATTTGTAAACAAAATCACAATCTTAAAGTCATCTAACACTTTGGAAATCTTTAACAAATATTTACAAATTCCTACACTCAGTTGCAAAAAAATGCAAACAAGAAAATTTTGGTCAAATTTAAAGTACTTATTTTTTATAGTTTTTTAATAAAATTTTGTATTTGACTTCTACCGGGTTAATCGAAAGGTGTATTTTTTATGCTAACATTGAAACATCCTGTGAAATTATTCGGTTAGCGGATTTTCGTAAAACCTTGTTTTTCGGTTGCAACCATGACTTCTAAGTATTATGTTTTTTTGTATCATATGAAAATATGGATTGGTTCATTTTTAGGAGCGAAATAGTGAAATGACTTTGCCACCCACAATTTATAGCTTTTCCTAATATTACCATTATCTTTTGTATTAATTTGTAATACAATGATAGGGGCTTTGGTGACTGATATCGAAGGAATGTCATATCGACATTCCAGAAGCACTGTATTTAAATAATGATTAAAACCAACGACATGTTCTGGGTTTTAATGAACAATGATAACAATAACAACATAAAAAAAAACGAGTTAAATGTAACTTAACCTAAGTACGCAAATAACAAAGAAACACTGCTAAAAAATAAGTTAATACTTTGTATTGCTTCCCCTAGCCTCTATAACTGCCTGTACAGGTCGGCTCATGCTGTCTATGAGGTTGCGAATATCTTGCTGGATGTTTTGCCATTCCTTTTCTAGAGCCAAGCGAAGTTCATTAATTCAGGCTAATATGACTTCGCGACATCTAACTACCAACCGTGTCCCAAACGTAGTCTATCGGGTTCAGATCTGGCGAACACGCTGGCCAGTTCATTTTATTAATACCAAGTTCCTCTAGATATTGCGTGACACACATCACAGGATGTTTCAAAGTTATGATAATAAAACCATGTTTTTAATTAACCCCGTACAATAAGTCAAATATAAAATTTTATCAAAAACCTGACTATACCTAATTAAAATTTATAAATTTATACAGTGTGCTAAAAAAATAAAATATGGCTAAAAATAAAAAAATTGAAATACTTTGAATTTGACCAAAATTTTCTCTGTTGTGTTTTTTTGCATCTGAGTGTATATGCATTTGTTAAAAAAGATAAAAATAGAACAATATAAAATCTTTTGGCATCAAAACTGAAAATATGAATGGTTTTTATATGCACCATCTTTATGGCAGTGATCCAAATAAATTATTGTATTTTTGTCCACAGCATTTACTTAACATAGTAAAAAAATGGTAAAAAAGTTTTCTAAATAACAAATATTTTTTCGGAATTTATTTCTAAATTATGTTGCAGCATTGTAATAAAACATTGTTTTCCTGGTTTATAGGCCATGATCTGAAATGATTTCATCTGAATTTGGAATTTTTGGTGTGCCTGAGAGGAGGTTTTGTTTTTTAAAAATCTTAGTTCCAAATCTTGGTGTATTTGGATTTTGATAGACTTTGAAACGCAATTAATAGTAATGTATTATTGTATGTTGATTTTTGGAAGAAATAATTACAAATCACCGTTTATAAACCCGCAAAATAAAGCTTCATTACAAAACACCATTTGTGAAAACTTACATTTCTTTAATGGAACAAAGCTTATTCTCTAAGAATAATTTAAGACTTTTTTCCTTATTATATAATTCTATAACCAATAGCAGATATTTGGCCGGTTGCGACCACCCCCTCCACTTCCACTTTGACGTCACAAGCCCTGTCCACTAAAGCTCACAGCATTGTCGCTGACTTGATGCTGACAACGTCAGAGTGGAAATGGAGGAAGTGGGCTCAACCGGCCAAACCTCTGCCAACAATGCCTTATTTTTTTTAAGAACTCCATTTGCTGTGGTCTTCTGGCAATGGGTAAATCAGTCCTTCAACGCTCTAGTCAACTATACGAACCGGAACGCCAAGTCTCCTACTACCACAACGCAACTAGTGGTAGCCTATGCCTCAGCAACTTCATCAGCTATGATCACAGCGTTGGGCTGCAAGCAATATTGGGGCAAGATGGCTAATCCTTTCATACAGGTATGTTAAGATTCTCCTGAATATAAATTTACTGAGAAACAAACAACTAAAACCTCCAAGGTTGTTTGTGCAAGAAATCTAATTTCCTTTTGTTGCTCTGATCTTTATTTTTTTAGACTTTCTCCAGTTTTTATTTTGTTATGGATTCTTTCGTCTAGGTCTAGGATATCATTGTCTTTGCGGGTTTTTCTTACAAAAGTCTTCATAGCACAGTATTTGTTATTTTTTAGGAAGTTCGCCAGAGCTTCAACTTCATCTCGACTGTCTTAACGTAATTCTGCTGTGTAAGTTTTTGCCTAATTTTAGTATCGAAGACCACTCTCATAAAACTTAATGACCCAATTCAAGTTTTTTCTTCTTCTAGTTCATATATTTTTTCGTCTCTGTTCATGAGATGTTCAAATTTGTCGTTTTTAGCGATTTCTTATTTGCCCACATTCCATGAATCCGTCTTTGTTGTGAAGGAGTGTTTATTGTACTAATATTTTGCAGAGATATGTACCTTTTGCTGCAGTGGCAGCCGCCAATTGCGTGAATATTCCGCTCATGAGGCAAAACGAGATCATCTACGGCATCGACTGCTCCGACGAAAACGGCAAAATCGTCGGCCAATCAAAGGTAGCGGCAGCGAAAGGCATCTCACAAGTAGTTTTCTCTAGGATAGTTATGTGCGCACCTGGCATGTGCATTCTGCCCATAATCATGGAACGAGCTGAGAAGTTTAAATTTATGCAGAGGATTACGTTCCTACATGGACCTATTCAAGTTATGGGCGTCGGTTGTTTGTAAGTACTTGTTTTATTTTTAAGAAACTTACAGTTTTACTAGTAAAATCTTAAAAAAAAAATAACTTTGGATTCAATGAACTGTACCGGAACCGATTCACCCATCTCTATTTAAAAATTGTCTGGATTTGTGTACTTTTCAATATTTTACAGCAAAATGATTTGTTTTTAGCTTAACCTTCATGGTACCAGCTGCTTGTGCTCTCTTCCCACAAAGATGGTGAGTATTTTAATTTTTACTTTTATTTTATTCCTACAAAAATATTCAATTATACTTATATTCTTTTTCTTGTGGTGCCTATCCGTTACGGATGTTGGCAACTAGCACTCCCAACAGTTGAAGCGTAAGGTCTTTTCTGTATAGCCTTTTCATGGCCTCGATAACACCTTGGTCCATTGGCTGGGCAATAGATGTTACATTCGGAGGAAAATATGCTACGAATATGTTCCCATCTGCTGACTTTAGTTGCTCTATAAACAGGATGCGATGGCACATTGTCCAGTAACAGTACAGCCTTTGGTGGAAGATTATTTTCTTGTAGATAAGCTCTAACTTGAGGTACAAATTTTTGGAAAAACTACTGTTTAAAAATTACACGATCCATCCAAGCTGCCTTTTGATTATAATAATCAACAGGCAGTGTTTTTATATTTTTAAAAGCCCTCGGATTTTTGGATTTTCCAATGACGGCTAACCTAAGCTTATGGGTTCCTGATTCATTAGCACAGCATAAAACTGTTATACGGTCTTTGCTTGATTTGAAACCTAAAAAAAAATTATTTTGAAAAATACTTTATATGTAAAAAGAATTAAAGCTAACCTGGTGCACTCGTTTCTGAGTCTGCAACAAGGGTTCTTCTCGGCATTGCTTTCCAATAAAACCCAGTTTAGTCTGCATTATACACTTGCTCAGGTTTTATGTCGTGCTCCGTTATGAAATTTTCAAAATCGTAGCAAAATGCTACCATATCTACATCATCAGCACTTAATTTCTCCCCTTGAACAGCTAATTCTCGTATTCCATGACGTTTTTTAAATCTGTAAAGCCAACCAGAAGATGCCGAGACGGTGCCTCTAATTTTCAACTGCTCGTGAAACTTTTCAGCTTGCCTAGCACACATAGGTCTTGATATTGGAACCCCCATTGATCTTTTCTGCAAGAACCACTTGGTCATAGCATCATCAAGTTCTCGAAACGTAGACCCTTTTAGAGATTTCCTGTCAGAAATTCGGATTTTTTCTTCACAATGTCACGAACTGTTTGTTTCCCAATATTATATGTTTTAGCCAACATAGCAACACTTATTTTATTTTCAAATTGTTTCAAAATTTCCATTTTTTGCTCAATAGGTAAAACATTGTGTTTACGCTTTTCATTAGCACCCGTACGCTGCATTTTGTGTGCCTGTTTACGTTCAACTAACTAACCGGTCCAGTGATGTTCTGCATGGTACAGAGAAACTCCCTCTGTTATCCGAAATTTATCCCACTTTTTATCGGAATAACCCTCCCCAATAGGTATCTTCGTTTATCGCGAGATGGCGCAGCGAACACACATTTCTATACATTGCAATAGCATTGTCGAGATAAACGAATATACACCAAATTAAACCAAAGGATAAATAATACATCTTTCGTAATTTTTAAAAGATTTAATTGAAAATATGAAATATAAAAAATACGAATATAAAAAATGTATATAATAAAAAGTATGTACAATAACGTATACCTAACATGAAAAAATGTTGGTAAACTAAAAGTGGTTATGCTGAAATTTTATATTTTTGGGAATAAACCACAATTACTGTTATCAAAAATACATTTTTTTCTTGTCAATATTAACACTAGAAGTTTAGAATGTGGTTGATACCTCAAACACCGCCTAGACAGCTGTCAATTATTCATTGACCTATGACAGATGACAGTTATTTGTCAATGGGTCAATGTCAGTCTGTGGTCACTTTATGCCAGAGATATACATAATATCTCTGCTTTATGCTAAGAACCACAGACCACTAATAAGGAGGTAGGTGATCTGTGCTTAGAACACAACTTAAAAAACTGTAACTCAGATAGAAATCTCCATTGAAATTTAAATTACTTACAGGTTTTACCGATAGATGTCACCTGGTGACATTATTAAATAAGTACTGAAATAAGTTATTTTGCTTAATATGATAATAAGATGAGGAAAAGTTGTTTTTCGATATATTAGCTGTATTTTGAGTGATATTTGTGAAAAGTGAAATAAAATAAACTAAATATTTACATCCCGATCTCTCATTTCATTTGTAAGTACATACAATTTACATTATTTAAGAGGAGGAAAAGAGAAAGCGTGTTTGTTTACATTTTAATAGGCGTACCATTGGGTTTATTCATGTTCATTAATGTATTGAATAAGATATGAGTTCATGAAATTAGTAGACATTTTTAAATTGTAAGTAGACATCATCTGATTAAAAAAGATCTGTTTAGCACCTTTTTAATTTAATATTTCTCATGGATACAAATAAATTAGTGAAATGAATAAAACTCATTTATTTTTCTATGTAGGTTTCCAAATAATATTGACGATCGAACTATTTGGGTAGCAAATTTAGGAGAAATATATATATATATATATATATATATATATATATATAATATATATATGTATATATATATATATATATATATATATATATATATATATATATATATATATATGTATATATATATATATAATTACGTCTATAAAGACGTGATTTGTTAATAGTTAAACTCTCGTTTTTTAAATTCTTTGAACGTGTTTTTATACATTATTACTACTACCAATTTTTAAAATCTGAATAATTACCCGCGAGTAAAAATTCAAGCACGCTTATGCTCATTGCGGAAGCATCACATTCTATCGAAGCTTCAAAACCTTGTCTGTTAAAGGTATCTTATTGCTGTGTCCATCTATGTTTATACGTCCATGGTTTACACGGTGCATTATTCAGCGTTCATGGGAGCACGGATAAACGGGGTTCTACTGTACTTTGAATTTGACCAAAAATTTTCTCTGTTGCTTTTTTTTTGTATCTGAGTGTAGTGTTTTGAGTTTTGAATTTTATAGTTGTCATTGAGTTATTGTGTTAAAGTATTGTAAAGTTATTGTTGAATAAAGTTGATCTCAAAGAAGCGTAATAGTATAATAAATGTCTGAATTGTCAATATGAAGAAGGCAAATAAAATTAAATTGATAGAAGAATTTTGTCGTATTACCAAGTAATAAAATATTAAATAAACCCTAACAATAAAAATAGTATATATACCCGAGTACTTTTCACTTTACCCTCGTATAATGATATTTTTGTTAATCTTATTTTTATTTTTATCTTTTCAGTTCAATCAAAACCTCAACGATAGCTTGGCTGGAACCGGAGCATTACGAGAATATTAAGAAGAACTGCGGCGATAAAGTCCCTGAAAAGCTTTACTTCAACAAGGGTCTCTAAATCCTTTTCCTCATTGGTGTATCGTTCAGGACATATTTTTATTTTCTCCGTAGTCTACAATAGATCAAAGAATAAGTAATAATTTTCAAGAAATAGTACAAGTATTCGTTGAATGCAGTAGTTCTTCCACTAAAAATAGAAGAATTATCAGATACGCCACTGTAGTCGTTTTAGGTTTAACAGAAAGGTTTGTTCTAGGATATAAATGATTTGACAGATTTTTCAACGTAAATTTGGGTAGTTTTTTGATTGTAGTGATAAAATGATACACCAATGTTATTTCTTAGATTACCACCGCAGATTTAAAATTATTGTACGCCGTAATAGAGGTGTTCATACAGTTACTTTGTTCCCATAAGTGACTCGGATCGAAAAATTCGGGCCACCGCATGAACGAATCCGGCTCACGGAATCATCGGATCCCAAGGCTCAATAATATATCGACTCATATAGTGCAGCATGGCGTCTAGGAATTAAACATTAATCAATTTCTGTATAAACTGTTTCACCAAGCTATAAAAATGTACAATATTCCTCTAAAGTAATGATTCTATAATAGTGGTTCTTTTGATTCGACTCATTGCTCAAGCTCCTATAATATATCCACGTCAAGGGGGAATAGCAGGATGAAGCCACATCATGAACATGATATGAAGCCAAATGTATGAATATTTTATTGAGTCATTGCAGAGTGGCAACTAAATTATGCGTTTATTAAGAAAAATCATTTATTGACAAATCTGTCAAACTAAAAAGTTGTTAATGGAAAATAAGAACAAAACTTTCTGTCTTTGTAGTGAGAATAGTATATATAAAACTGGTATGACTTTCACCTGAAAGTATACGTAATTGATAACGAGTCAGTTATCTTATTTATTGAAATTTTTGTTTACAAAAGTCAGACAAAACTAGGTAAATAATTATTATTACTTTTACACAAGTATGGCACCTAAAAATTGAAAAGGGAACTTTCATAATCTGGAAGAGAAATAGCTTAATTGAAAACTTTAACTAGAAACTTAAGATACAGCGCCATCTGATAGAAATAATTAAAAGTTTTCTCGTTTTGGATGATTTTTGCAACAAAAATTGTAGTACAGTCTGTATTATGTATGTAACGTATATTGCTTTTGCAATACTTAATTTGTACAAGGTTTGTGGCTTCCCCAAATGTCTTAATTTGGATGGAAAATGTTTTTTATACTCATAATTTATTATTAGACGTAAATTGACGTTCTATGTTTGACATATATGTATGACATCTTTTCTGACCTCATTCAAAAGTAATAATATCCATAGTACAACGTTTTTGGTTTATTTTTAAGAGCTTTTTATATAATTTACATCGCTTCTAAGCCACTGTTTTAAGTGATATTTTATGCAATAATTTTTGTTATATTTGTGTCACAAATATATTTTTGAAAGCACCAAAATTTGTTTTAATTTTCTTTACCAGAAGACAGTGGTTTTCTTTACCAGACTTCACCACATATTTATTGACTTCAAAGCCGCATACGACTCCGTTAATAGAAATAAACTTCTACTTGGTATGGTAGAATTTCGCATTCCGTTTGATCTTGTCCGGTTAACTGAACTTACACTCACAGGTGCAGAGAGCATGGTAAAAATCCAAAACGATCTCTCAAGACCTTTCCATTGCAAAAATGGACTAAGACAGGGTGATGGACTATCGTGTCTCTTATTTAACCTGGCATTAGAAAAAATAATTCGAGAGTCGCAGATTACTATGAATGGTACTATCTTTAACAAATCAGTACAAATTGTCGGTTACGCAGATGATATAGACATCATAGGTAGGTCCACAGAATCTCTGACTGAAGCATTTCGGTCGTTAAGAGCATCTGCACACAGAATGGGACTAAATATAAATGTTCAAAAGACCAAATATATGTGTTGCACTAGGTCAAGCAACCCGACACCTACACGAATAATAATTGATGACCTAGAACTAGAAGGTGTTGACACCTTCATATACTTAGGGTCGCTGCTAACCAAAGATAACAACGTCAGTGAAGAAATCAAAAGAAGAATAGTGCTCGCCAATAAATGTTACTATGGCTTAAGAAGATAGATGGCCTCAAAAATGCCTAGAAAAATTAAACTCACTGTATATAAAACACTAATAAGACCAGTGCTAACATATGGTTCAGAAACTTGGACACTAACACCAAGAATTGCTCAAACGTTTTGAGCGAAAAATACTAAGACGAATATATGGAGGCATAAACGAACAAGGTTTGTAGCGCAGGTGCTACAATTTTGAGTTGTATAGAAGATTTGGAGAACCTGACGTTTTAAAATTCATTAAGGTAGCACGCCTCAGATGGATAGGTCATGTAATCAGACGAGAGGAAGATGCCATAGTCAGAAAAGTTTTTGACCGAAGAGGGCCAATCCGACAACGAAGAAGAGGAAGACCGAGACTTAGGTATTAAGACAACCTAGAAAATGATTTGAAGTCTATCGGAATTAGAGCATGGAGAAGAGCTGCCAGAGGCAGGGGCGAATGGAGGATTGTTCTGAGGTTGGATATCATCATCACTATCTTTACTTTATCTACTGCTGCTCTGAAGAGTTCTATAAAACTGCATTTAAACCAGTCCCTTAAATTCTTTAACTATGGCACTCTCCTTCTTCCTATTGTAAAGTCTTTATTAATTCTAATTTATTGTTATTATTTTAATTTACTAAAGGTTCAATATTTATAACACTTACAAACTTAATTTATTTAAAGTTCATTTTAAATAATTTATCTTACAATAATAATTTATTATTACGATCTTTACATTTAAATACCCGATCGCGATTTTCTTTTCTGACTGACCCGTCTTTACATAGAAATTCTATTTAAATATAAACTGCCGTTAGCCCAGAGTTCCCCCGACGTTCTCGAGTAAAAAGGAATCCCATGGATGTTGACCTGCATTGCCTCGAATGAACTGGAACCTAGACTGTTTTTTTTTTACTTGGAATTTCTGCTAGCCAGTCGAAGGGTCGTAGAATCTATAACATATTAGTGAATAAACAACATGTTTACAGGTTTTTAATGACTCATATTTTTACGTAACACTATACTCCTTCCTCCTCTTATCTTTCCCTGTATTATCAGCCTTAGCAGTTCATATCGCTGTCCCCCATCGAGTTAGAATCTATGGAGAGGACATCACGTGACTAAAAACGACCTAACTTCGGCCATATTGGTATTATTGTTTTGAAACTTTTGACAGATCGTATACGTTTGGTTATATTTGTTGCTTTTCGAATATTTTCAGTTTTATAATAATTTTATAGAAACTGTAATATATTGTGATAGTGAATAATAATGGTTTCTTGTTCTCAACGTAGTTACAGTAGCAGAAGTAATGTTAATAAAAAATCTTCAGGAATATCGTTCCACAGGTTAGTATACAAATATGTAAACAAAGTAATGGCCCGTACTTCAGAGAATAAATTAATACTATTTGACTGTATTAATTTATCTTTATATGTAATATATCGCGTTTTTACTGGTTACCGCGGGATAAATAAATCATAGTTTATTAAAAATGTATTGCACTTTTTTAGATTATGATTAAATCTTCTGAATAACTAGTCATATTTGTATAGTAGTTTATAGTTTCGTTCGCGGTACGAATCCTGGACTCGTTCTGGATTACTTCGCATGCGCGGTGTAAAAATGAGCGTTCGCGCTGATCAAGTTCTGGACTGAGGGACTGCTAGTCCGGAATCTTGTCGTTCGCGGTAACAGAACTTGCAGTTCAGAACCAGTTCAACCGATCCTTGGGATTTGAAGAGAACTCGGAGTTCGTACATGCGCAATAGAAACACTAGAAATTTCAAAATAGGAACATAGAACATTTTTATTATTCTGGTGATTGTCACTCTGAACTTTAAACGGTTTATTGTTTATTCGAGACATTCTGTTGTTTTTCTAACAATGCTCATCTCTAAACTAGACTATAAAATGTGCTCTAATCTAAATAAAATATGGCCGCTGGCAATGCGCAAACCAGATGCGTGATCAATTCCCGCCGAGTCGACTGCGCCTTCGGGTTGTTCCATATCAGAACTGAAAATTATTCAAAATTCGTTCGCGGTGTAAATCAATCCTGAACTGATTATGAACCGCGCTTGCGTACAACCCTATGACTACTAGGATTCTAAACGCATCCTGAACGCGTCCAGGATTCGTACCGCGAACGAAACTATTATTGAGTCTGGCCCTGATGTCACCGCCATATTGGTATTATCGTTAGCCACTCCTACCTATGGCGTTTTTAATACATACGTTAATATGCTCATAGCTTCTCCATAGATTCTAACTCGATGGTGTCCCCTCATTACGTATCCCAGATATTGTAACTTTCTTATTTTATTGTGTTTATTATTTCGAATCCTTTGCCCATTTCTCGCAGTACTTCCGTGTTAGTTTTCTTCTGTGTCAATGCTATTCTAAGCATCCTCCTGTAATACCACATTTCAAAGGACTGTAACTTATTTATGTGTTTTTGCTTCAATGTCCAGCTTTCAAGTCCTTATTGCAGTATCGAAAACACGTAGCATCTCAGTGCTCTTACTCTCAGTTTTAATATAAGGTCTTTGTTGCAGATAATTGTTTTCATTTTTACAAACGCATTTCTGGCTATTTCTATTCAGTCTCTGATTTCGATTGTATCTGTGAGATAATAAAGACTAAGTTTTATTCATGGTTTTTAAAAGAATTCGTCAAATCTGAGCGTTAAGTGATCCCTGCGTAATACACTTTTCAAATTAATGATCTGAAATCGGAGACATGCATCCACCTGTGAATTCTTAAAAAGACACGTTTCGGGGTTTCGGCAAACCGATCTCAAGTTGGACGATTTACATGTTAAAATAAACGGAATATTAGTTGATGAGCAACCAAACATACATTTCTTCCCATATGAATTTAATTACCAAGTACGGCAAATTTAAATTTGCGGATGCTTCATTTGGATTGGTGATTGGTCGTGAACTGTAACTTAAGAGCGCGGGATGAAATGTTATTTCGGGAATAGAATAACAAAACTGGTGCAAAATCTCAGAGATTTTCGTAATGATAGTAATTTCCAGTATATACGCAGTGACGTTTTGGACTCGCTTGATATTTCCGAACCCCCTAAAA